TCGACAGAAAATCCGAGAGTTGTCCGACTTAAGTGTATAATAAACAACGAAGAGTCTTCGATTGATTTACAGAGCGACGTAGTTGAAAAGAAGGATGAGGTATTTTTTGTATGTCATTCCTTTACTCCACCCTCTTTTTTTCATTTTGTATTTGATTGTAAGAAGGAGAGAGAAGGCAGTAAACTAATCATGGAAGTGAAGGGACATAGCTCATGGGGAGGATTAAAAAGGTTCAGTCAACTCCTCTCGGTGCAGAGAATGTTTGTCTTTAACTTGGCGCAGTCAATCCGGTCAGACACAAGCTTTGTCATGTTGACCCAACAAGAGCAAGAGTTTTATTCAAGAATGAATGCGCCACTTTTGGACTCTAATATCGTCCACAAGAACAATCACTTTACTGTGTACTTGAACAAAGATTGCTGCGAGTTAATTGTGAAAGGGAGTGACCAGTGCTTTATAACACCACAAGAGATGTTAGAAAGTATTTCACGACTAACAAGTGGCACACCTATGTTTCCAACAATCATAATGGGAAAGGGGCATACTGAAACTGACACGACATTGAACACTATGATCACGCCGTTGTTTGGCCAGACGCAAAAAGTAGTGAAAGTCTGGTCGGCGTCCAGAATTATTGAAGGAAATGTTCTCTATACGGTCAAGTCTATTGATAGCGATAATGCAGATCTTTGCGTCGTTTTACTTGCACAAAACATTAATATTACATTAGATGGGCGAGTCATGTCAGAGTTTTATTACCACTTCAGATGTGTCGACTTTTTGAAAATGACGGAGAAGGAAAGGAACACGACAATATCTGTTTTCATTGTTGCTGTTATCATCGAGCGCATTGTAATACAAAATAACATCACATTCACTGGGTGGAGATCTTGTGGTAATTATAATGAACTTGTACAAGAGATGTTTCTCTATTCAGTTCTTTTAAATTCTAAAACTAAGAATTGTCGCATTAATACAATAGTCCCATTAATCCCTCGCTATAGTAACCCGTCCATTTTCAAATTTTTAAAATGTCCAATCAACTCTTTACAAAAGGTAATGACAATGCTCTCTATTAATGATTTGTTTAATGTGATGAAAACATGTAAAACACTGAGAGGGTTAGTTCTGGGATATGACGCAGTGTGGAAAGTGATGTACGATTTACACTTCAACCCAGCGACATTTCAAATATTCAATACACGCCATACAAGAGTTCAAGAAAATAAAACTGACGCATTTCCCACATTCCAGAAGTCTCTCATTGTCTTTCAAAAATGGAAGAAAAATTTACCGACGAAAAGGAAGTTATTCAAACTCTTTGAAAATCATTCAGTGGATCTAATTGTGAAATTGGAAAGTTCCGATTTTGTGTTTGCGTCTAAAGATGGCGTGTTTAAGTTCTTCGACTCAAAATCAAGGTGCACAAAAACACGAATCCTGAAAGAAAAGATCAACAAGTTCCAATACAATTACGCTTCTAATGACATTTTATTGGCACTTGAAAATGACAACATCGTCCTCTATGACACAACAAAGGAAGTCATTAAGAAATGCCCAGAAAACAATATCAAGATGTTTTCATTTTTACAAGACAACTCGCGAATGCTCTGTTACGACAATAAAACCGTTTTTGTGAAGAACATTTACGACGGGGAAGTCGTGTGGTCGCAGACAACTAACAACTCGTTTGTTGATGGGAGACAAGTCGAGCCAAATTTCTTTTTAATCCACAACAGAGACTCTTTCTGTGGGTTTGACATACGACAGAGTGGGCAATGCATGAAAATTGAATTTCAAAATTCCGTTATCGACTGTTTTGATGGGTATGATAATTCAATTGTGGTTGGGTTTGACTCTGGAAATGTATTACTCTACGATTATAGACAAATGGCTGTTCTTCAAAAAAGAAGGGTTGCAGTGACTCCAGTACAGCTTATAAAGGTTTATAATCGAAAGATGTGTGTCGGGAATAAATCCGGGACACTCTTTTATCTTCATTGTGAGAATAAGTGGTTTGGAGAATGTAAGATACTTTACACACATAAATCTCCAGTCACTGTCGTTGAAATGTCAGACACTTTACTTGCTTCTGGGTCGGCTTCTGGTGAATTTATGTATAGCAACTACGGAATTAATTAATATGTAAACTAGACTGTTATTCATTTTATGATTTGGTTTTATACATTTTTATCACTGTTTGCACAACATGTTGTACAAACAGTATATTATAATACATATTTATCTCATAATATCTATATATCTGGTGATAAAACTCTTATCCCAAAATTGTGATTTAAAAATATTTGATACTTCCACGACATTTTAATTAAATTGAATTTGAAAACCAACTTTTTCCATTACCACCTTTACCAAAATAAAGTATTTGTCGCTGTTGTTTTTTGAAAGAAGTCTAGAAACCACTATTTGTGCGTCTATGTGAGTCTTTCTTTCAATGCTCTGTATCACTCAGTGTCCACTGACTCCAAGTGACTGTTGGCCTTTTTAGAATTCGGGAACCAAACCAAAATCAAATAAAGTTTGTCTTATTGACTTGATAAGATAAACTATATACTTCCACCAACTTTATTATAATAATCGATGACATTTCAATATTATTTTTTGAATAATTTATAAAAACGCAATCATTCTTAATCCTTCTTTTTTATGTAGAAAATTTTTCAAATATTGGTCAAATTTTCTTATTAGTTCATTAGAAAAATAATATAATAAAAGGTTTAATAGTTTAAATATTAATTCTATAATTGTTATTTTACCATACTTACGAATTTGTCATTTTTTAATATTAAAAACATCAAACAGAACTAGAATATTGAAAACTGAAAAATTGATGATCATTCTATTTATTGTGATTTTATCAACATTGTCACAAAACCTGAAGATCAACATATTTAATGTGGACCAGGCTGACAGTGAGTTGATTCTGTTTCCAAGTGG